GCTTTGGAATTCTCAGCATCAAGAATGACAAGCTCTTGATTTTCTTCTGACATTTGCAACTCCCTTTTAAGATTCTCAACTTTATCCTTTAACGAATCTGAATGACGTTCACTTTGTTTCAGTTTTTCTAAGATGTGGAGCTGCTTCTTCTCATCGTCCTCAATGCGGACTTTCAGTTTCTCAATGCCATTTCTCAGCTGGTGCACTTCATCTTGTGTTGAGCTCAGTCTCATCATAATCTCACTTTTCTCCATTAATGCAGCCTCCAAGGCCTTCGAGTGCACGACCTTTTGGTCTTCTGATTCACTTAGCTTGTTCTGCAAGTTTTCTAAGTTCGTCACAAGCAATTCTTTCTCTTTATTCAACTGCCCGATTTGGTTTTCCAGCTCACCTTTTACCAAAGACAGTGCCTGTAAATCATTTTCCAGACTCTGCAACTGTGCTTGGAGATCACCCTGCTCCTTTAACAGCTTGTTTGCATCACTGGACAAAGTTTGAAGTAGTGCTGTCTTCTCTTGTACTTCAGACTCCACAACTTGAACGTGATTCAGACATTCACCATGATGAGACTCAAGTTCTTGTATTTTTTCCTTCATCTTTTCACACATCTGTCTCAGTTCTTTGTTTTCTCTTGACACAGTATCTAATTCACCATGAAGTCCATTTCGCTCAGTTGTAACCACAGAAAGCTCTTTTTCAAGACAGGTTATAACTTTTAGCTTATTTTCATTGTCTTTTTCTAAATGCAACTTCTCTGTCTGAAATGTCTCTAAGTTCGATTTCATAGATAAGGTCTGATGCTCCATGCTAGCGTTCTCAGATTTGATTCTCTCCAGTTCATTTTCTGCATTAAGAAATTTCTGTTTCCAGTTGTCATTCGCCATGTGTACATTATCTGCAATAATTTCATTTGACAATTTATCTGTCATTTCTAAATTAGAATTGAATTCTTCCAAAGTTTTTGCTTTCTGAAATAACTCTGGGTTATCATGACAGAAGAATTCGAATTTTTCATGTAAATCTGACTTTTCTTTCCGAAGTTCCTCAACAGATTTTTCTAATTCAATGCATGCTTCAATCTTAGTATTTAGTTGCACTCTCTGTACACATACTTTTGAATCTAACTCTTTCACTTCATTTAGCAAAACTTCCAGTTTTTTGTCACGTTCCTCTATGATATGAAGTAATTTGAGGTTCTCATCTGAAGCTTCTTTTACCTGCAATTGAAGATTCTGAATAGTTAATTGATTCTCCAGAAAATCCATAGATACCAAAGCACTAGGATCAGAGAGAGACAATTCAGAAATGCGTTCTGAACAGCCCTGAGTTCTATCGTCCACTGGAGTCTCCCAGTCAGTTCCTGAGGAATGCTCCCCTGTTTGTTTGATTGCATCAGTCTCGAGATGGAGGTCTTGCTGAATATCTTTTTCACAAATCTGATGAATGTCACTCTTTGCAATTCTTCCTTTAGTTTTTGGAGTATATTCCTCTGATTCTTTTATGTCACAGCTCGCATTTCCACTCTGAATAGCCTAAAATTATAACAGGAAAGCATTTTTAAAAGCAAAAACAAAATAGAATAGATAGAAGACTTAATTATTACTTGCTAGAAACCAGGTTCCTGCCTCAGCTAAACACAATCTCTTACTGACTAAAGTCAAATGACATAATTTCCACCATACTGTCCTCTCTCCATTCAAATACCTACCACAAACATTCAGCAGGGCATTAAATGGGCATGACCTTTATCTTGGGTAAGGTACGTAGCATGAAGAAAAACCCACTTATTTTATCATCTAAATCACAATTAATCCAAATTTCATTTTTGTTGGTTTTGTTTTGCTAGGAATAATCTAGTTGTCCAAATATAAAATTTCTCTTTATGATCTTCAAATAAGAAGCAAATTCCTAACAAACTGTTTCCTAAGCATCGTCAACATTTATGATATTCGTTAATAAGAAAAATTAGTTAAGGTTCCATTACCAGATTTCCAGACCAAAGACTTAACCCACAGATCCAGGATCTGCTATCAATGTGTCTTAGAGACTCACTATTTCTCATCTGTAAAATGGGGATTTGCATGGCTACTATTATATGTCACCACCTCCAACCACCTGCCCTCTACACCTTACAGAGGCAGACAAAAGGAATCAAGAAAAATTTCAGTACTATACAGCATTGTTCATTATATTACTTATAATTATTAATTATACTGCTTATTCAATAAAGAAATGATCGATACCAGATCATATATTTGTATCATAGCAAATTGTTAAAAGAAAATTCTGTAGTAACGCATAAACGAGAATCTACATTTCTTTCATAACTATAATTCTGTAACATAAAAAAGTTCCGGAAGAGCCTGAGAGCTTAAATTTTACATCACATTATCATTCTTAAAGGAGCTCTGGTAGGATAGTGGTTACGAATCAGGCTGCTAACTTCAAGGTTGGCAGTTCAAAACTACCAGCTGTTCCGCGGGAGCAAGATGAGGTGTTCTGCTCCCGTAAAGATTTACAGCTTCGGAAACTATAAGTAGGGTCACTATGAGTCGGAACCGAATCCACAATACTTAACAACAACATCATTCATAAGCTCAAGTTCAATATTTAACTGTGCTTTATGAATTCACAAAGTGTAAAAACACATATATATCCTATTGACGGTCTTCGAATTCCAGTATAACAATTTTCTCCAGAAGACTTTAAAAACATCTTTATTAATTTACCATATAACAGTGTGGCGTTCCTGGGTGACACATATGGTTCAACATCTGGCTACCAATCAAAAAGTTAGAGGTTCTAATCCTCTCAAAGGCGCTTCAGAAAAAAGAGTTGAGTAGCATACATCAGAAAAATCAGTCAATGAAAACCCTCCAGTGCACAGTTTTACTCTGCCACACCTGGGGTTGTCATGAATTAGGAGATGACTAGATGGCAATGGGTTTGGAGATCCTGGGTGGCACAAGTGATTAAACATTCAACTATCAGCAAACATTTGGTGATTTGAACCCACCTGGGTAAACAGGTCTGCTGATCTGCCTCAGAAAGGACAGTCTTGAACACCCTATGCAGTTCTACTACTCTGCACACGTGGGGCTACCAGGAGTTAGAATCAACTCACAGGCAATTAACAGTAACAAGTCAAATCAATAAAACAGGCAACCAAAGTTTGCTTTTTTTTTTTAAAGTTCTTTCATTTTTCATAACTTGGTATATTTTGTTTTGATTTCTTTGAACGTACAAATATTTTCAACTTAAAATGTGTATTTCCATCTAGCACCCATGTATTATAAATGGAAATTATGTAAACAGAAGGTAATAAAACAGCATGTGAAGCCCATATACTTACATCTTCTATGTCAGTGCCGAGCAAGGACCGTGAGCTTAAGTCAAGACCTTGTAGCTGGAGTCGTGCGACTTCTAGCTCATGTGACAGATGTGCAGTCTGTTCTTTTTCTGCTGCCAACTTAGACTCCATCTCCATGGTCACACTTTGCAGCTTCTGTTGCCATTGTTCATTATCGGACAAACACTGCTTTCTAAGACAGTCAAGCTCCTTTCTTTCAGAACTTAGTAACTGTTCAAGCTCTTGGATTTCCTTATTTTTCATAATCCCTTGACTTTCAACTTCCTGCTCTAGCTGCTTGAGAGACTGCAGGTACATCTGACAGAGGGTCTCCAGTTCCTCAGTACTCCTCATGGGGGCAGATGACATTTGTTTCTTAGCCTGATTGCCCTCCTCCAGACTACTGCAGGATATTTCATCCACACTAGACTGGTTCACAGAAACATTCTCTTCCAAACTATTCAAAAGAGACATTTCTCCTGTCTGTTCCAAAGGATCTTTGCAAAAAGAGAATTCTCCAAAACTTTTAAGAATAGGGCTTTCAGTCCCACCAGAGAATGACAGTGACAGAAAACGGCCCTCCTCAGGTCTTAGCGACACCTCCTTCACCTGGTCATCTTGAACGTTTCTCAAATTCATTGCCAAGACCGAATTTTCAGCCTTTAGAGTGTCAACATAGGACTGTAGTTCTGCCATCTTTGAGCTCATGTGAAAATGCTGATCATGTAAGATTTTGTGTTCACTTTGTAAAGATGAGAATTTCTCCTGTAACTCAGCAAAATGCATCTGAACTTCTTTGTTTGACAATGTCAAGCTCTCATAGAAATTACTGTCATCCAAAGGCTCGGAGAGCAGAGACTTCTGTTCGTGTTGTTCACCAAATTTGCTTTCTGGCATCTGTTTCACTAACTCACCTTGGAGAAGACCATTTTCATCGTTTAAAATTTTAACATTATTGACAAGTTTCTCTACTTCTTCTGTCATTTTCTTAGTTGTTGTGATACATTCTGATCGTGAGTCATTCAGCTCAGATGTTAGCTCACACTTTTCAACCTGCAATATTTCACACATTTTCTCTAGCTCATTCAGCTTAGTCAATATTGTCTGTAAAGAACACGGTAGGTGTGCATTGTTATTTTGACTTGGTGACAACTCATGAAGTACTGAAATATATTTGTCTTCTGTATCTACTTTGCAGTCTGTAAGACCACTAATTTCTTGCAACTGAGAATCTTGTTGAAAACTTCCAGTCTCTAATTCTCCTCTAATCGTGTGTAATTCCTGCTGCAAGCATACCTTCTCCTTCTCACTCTCCTCAAGTCTTAGTTCCATAGTTCTTACCACAGCTTCTAGCTGTCCTAATCGTGCATTGTAACTGTCAGGAGATGCACCTTCAATGTCAAGATCCAACCGACGCTCAATATCATATGTATTTATCTTGCCCTCTTTTTCTTTCACAAAGTCACTGATTGGTTCTAATTCTAGATTCTGATGACCAGGCTCAGCCTTCTTCAGGTGCTCAATCTCTTCCAGCAAGGCATTCATTTCTTTTTGCAACCTATGCTGGTCTTCCTGTAAAGTAGTGATTTCTTGCTTTAAGACATCTTTCATATCCTTGGAACTGTTTTGGATGGCTGTAATCTCAGATCTCAGATTATGCTTCCCAGTCTCCAACTCTAGCATTAGGTTCTGGTTTCTTTCTTCTACTAATGCTAATTTCGTTGAGCGTGCTAGGTGTTCCTTTGCAAATGTTTCCTTTAGCTGTTCCAACTCATTTTTTCTATTCTCACAAACATTAGTGGATTCACTAAGCAAGCATTCTAACCTAGAGTTCTTCGCTTGCACTGCTTCGTAGTTTTCTCTAAGATCCTCAAGTGCACTTTCTGTCTCTTCACATCTTTGTAGTAAATTGAGTTTTTCTTGCTTGTATTGATTAGATAACTCTGAAATGCTTTTGTCTCTTTCATCTATGCAGTTAGAAAAGCTCTCACTTTTTTGTAGCAAGTTCATTTTCTCTTGATTTAAAGATGCATTCATTTCCCTAAGAATGTGATTCTCTTGGGTCAGCTCTTCAACTTCTTGTTTACTTAGAGAATAAACAGAGCTCAATTCCTTCTTCTCTGAGCTCAGGGTTTCAGACAAAAGTTGTAGTTCCTTTAGAGAGTCTTCAAGAACACCACTGCTCTCTTTTAATTCCTGATATTCCATTTGCTGAATTTCTAATTTTTCACTCAAAAGTTGCAGCTCTTTTTCCTTGTTCTCAAGGACAACTAAAGTTTCAGTAACAACATTCTGATGAACAGAAGCGTCTTCTTGTAACTTATTAATGCGTTGATTTGTCTCAACCACAAAACTTTGATGTATCTGTTCTGCTTTAATGAGATTTTCTTCTATTTCTCCTTTGATTTTCACCAATTCTTCACACTGCTTCTGCAGATCTGAGTTCATCTGCTTTTGAGTCTCTAATGAAAACTCAAGAGAAAGAACTTTGTTATGTAAAATGGCTGAATCTGTAGAACTTTGGTCTGCTTCTAAATGGCATTCGTTACTTTCAAAAGGCATGCTGCCTTGTTCTACAATTATCTTTGCAAAGCTATTTTCCATTGCAGGCTGCTGTTCACAAGCCAAAAAGCTTTTGTGATGATCCTCTGTCATCTGTGGAGAAGGATCTTTGGATTTTGAGAGCTCTCTGAAGCTCTCAAATTCAGCATGCAAATCTTGGTACCGCTGGTCTTTGTCTATTATATCACTTGACAGTAACTGAAGCTTGTGTTCTAGATCTTCAACTTGCCCAGTGAGCTGAGAAGTTTTCAAACACATATTTTCTATTTCTTTCTTGTATTTCTGATCTGAGAACTCAGCTTTCTGTTGTAGTTCTAGATAAACTTCTTTCTGTGCCTCTAGTTCAACACTCTTGCTGTCGATCACATTGTGAAGGTTTCTGATCTCAACACTTAAGTTTTCTCTTTCTATTTCCATTGTTTTTACTCTCTCATTATATTCTTGACTTTTTATTTGCTGAGTCTTGAGGCAAGTTTCCAAGTGATTCATTTTACTCTGCAAGGTTTCCTTTTCTGATTCTATCTGATTTAAAAGTTGTTCTCTTTCATTTTTCCAATGAGTAAGCAGAGTTTTCTCTTCTTTCAAGTCTTCACATTCTTTCTTTTTTAATTCAAAAGCACTTGATAAAGCTTGAAAATCTTTCTCTGCTCTGCTTAACTTTTCACTCAGTTGTTCAATGTGAAGTTCCCTTTTTTTCAAAAGGTCTTGAGAACAATCTCGCTGCTTTTCCAGATCAGCCAAGGTATGCTTCAGTTTCTCTAAAGTCAAGGAATTTTCTTGCCGATTTTTTTCTTGAAGATCTCTTAATATTGATTCCTGAGAAGTATTCTTAGCTAAACAACAACAACAACAAAAATAAGTAAGTATTTATTCTACAAGAATTCAAAACTATAAAACAATGTGTAAATATTGGCATTGTTACTTGAATAGTCTTCTGGAAAGGAGATCACCAGATAATTACCCAAGCTTAATGTAAGAAATTAGAAAAAATGGTAATTTGAAGGACAGCAATACACTGGTGAATTTTCTTTCCAAGAAGATTAATAAACTATGAAGGGACTTAGAAAAGGTTTGCTTCTTCAGAAATACCAATATCATTTGTTGAATGTAAAACTGATGATCCTCTTCATACAATTCACAATCAAAAGAATTTTAAATAGGGGGAAAATATTACATTACTTTTAACCCAATATTTCCATGAAACTTATAAAGCTTCCTCATACAAGTAATTGACCCCTTTTTTTCAGTATTTCTTCCTCTGTATGTGTACATATGTTATGTATATATTTGGGTTTTTTCCCCTTCATTTGAGATATCCCTTCAAAAAAAGAAAATAGAAAGAAAGAAAATAGAGGCAATAGAAGAATTGAAATTCAAATACCCCACGTTGCTCTCGACTAAGTTTAATGTTACAGAAAAGTCAGTAACAACTACTCCACCATTTTAACCAAAACTTCATAGAACTACACTTAAGCACAGAAGAGGAAGTAATGTTATCTATATATCAGCAACTCTTACAGCCTATAAGTGACTGACATTGAAAAAAGTTAACCATCAGCCCCCAGCCCCTTACAGTACAGGTCTATGAACATGAGATGGACAGGGAAACTTTTCCCAGTTCTATTACCACCTAATTTTCTGTCCTATAACTCACATCTATCCAGTGACACCTCCTAGTTAAAAATACCTACAAATGTTTCATTAAGCAGTGATAGGACGGGTTCAAAGACTTCAAATATCTTGAGGGAGAACTTCAGTACTAGATGATAAAGGTAACATGAATGATTATAATCTTAGATGTTCCATTAAGTGGAAAGCAAAACCTATTTTTAACCCATTAATTACAATTTACTGACTGAGAGTTGATAGTTGGGAGCCAGTTCTACAAGGGTTATAAAACCACGTTGCTTTTGAGAATCTCAAACAAAGACAGGAGTAACTAATGCTGAAAGATGACATTTCTACCCGTTATCATGGAAATTTAAATTAAGAAAAAAACATTCACAGAGAAATGTGAAATACATTCCACAGGTCAGTTAAAAGAAATACGAGATACGTAAATATCCCACACGACTAAAGTAAGGTATATGCCACAACTTGATTTTACAAAAATGTCAATACTACCCAAAGGAGTTCTGGTGTGGCACTGTGGATTAGTGTGCTGGACTGCAAGGTTACTTTGAACCACAAGGTTGGTGGTTCAAGCTCACCAGCTGCTCCTTGAAACCCCCATACAGGGTTCGCTATGGTTTGGAACCAAGTCAACGGCACTTAACAATAACCCAGAGCAATATATAGAAACGTAGCAATTCCTACAACAATCTATAACAAAATGGTACAACTCTTTTTTAGTATTATATGGAAAGAGATGCTGAGTAGTTAAACCTTTATTGAAGAACTAGTAAAACAAAGAGGCTTCACACTTCCCAATCTCAGAACCTACTATCCAATCATAGTAGTCAAAACAGCCCTGTACTGGTACAACAGACACTAGACCAAGTGAACAAACTTATCCATTGATGGACAGTTGATCTTTTTTTCCTTTAAAAAGGAAAAACACAGGTCTCTTAAAAAACTGGTGCTGGCAAAAGTGGTTACCCATTTGCAGAAAAATTAAACATGATCCACACCTTACACCATGTACGAAACTTAACTAAAATGGACCAAAAATCTAAAAATGTTAAATCTAAAACTAAGAAGTTTCAGGAAGATAGCACAGGGAACAAAGCAAGGAGACTTTACCTATGACATAAATATTCTATCAAACACAATTGATAATACACAAACACAGAAGATAATCTATACAACCTAAAACATAATCAAAAGACTTTACCAAATGAAAACTTACAGTCTGGGAAAAGATTTTTGACAATGACGTATCTGACAAGGCTCTACTCTCTAAAATACATAGAAAATTGCAACACTTCAAAAGCAAAAAGACAATTCAATCATAAAAAGGGCAAAAAACAATCCAGCAATCCAACTCATAAGCACATACCCTAAAGATATAAGAGCTGTGACACCAATAGACATATGCATACCCATGTTCATCCCAATATTATTCACACCAGTCAAATGATGGAAAACACATTAAGTGTCCACAAACAGATGAATGGATAAACAAAATGTGGCAGCTACAAGAGAATATACTGCACGATGATAAAGATAATGATGAATCAATCCTCTGTGAAACATCTCAAAACGTGGATGAATTTGGAAGCCATTATGCTGAATAAAGTAAGTCAATCAATCACAAAAGAATAGATATTGTAAGAAACCATCTTTATAAATAGTCAAAAATAGGTTTACACACAGAAAGCAATCCTTTGGTGATTAGGACAGGAATGGGAGGAGAAAGAAAAGAGAATCACTAAACAGTGGTTGGTTGTGGTGGTATGCCGTGGAGTCAGTTCTGACTCACAGAAACCCTATATAGGGTTTCCAAGGCTGCAAATCCTTATGGAAGCAGAGAACCCATTTTCTCCTGATAAACAGCTGGGAGTTTTGAACTGCTGTCAGATTAGCAGCCACTATGCTACTGTTCTTACTAAACAATAAGCACCTGGTAATTATGGTGAAGGCAGGGAAGGAAGACTCAAAATGAGCAAAATCAGCACAATGTGAACAAGGTAAATATATATATTTACCTTGTATATTGATATAACATGTTACAAAGCAATCCTTTGGTGATTAGGACATGAATGGGAGGAGAAAGAAAGGAGAAACACTAAACAGTGGATGTTGTTGGTGGTATGCCGTGGAGTCAGTTCCGACTCACAGCAACCCTGCAAAAGGTTTCCAAGATTTGTAAATCTTTGCGGAAGCAGAAATCTCATCTTTCTCCTGGCAAAAACTAATAACCACTGTGGTACCTTGAATTTACTTGTAATGGCTTTTCTATTCAACATCTTAATTCCCACCAAATAAGAGGCTGGGAATTGGTTAGTTTTGCCAGCCAGCTAGGTTTAAAAGGAACCATTCTAAAAGCAAAAACAGAGAATCCTAGGACCATCAAGCAAGAAGAGCATGAGTGGAGCATGAGATCCCTACCTGGAGAAGTAGTGATGTCAGAGGCATGACATGGCGGGACAGAGTAACGTTGGGCTCTAGGCCCATGAACCAAGTAGTTACTGAGTACCTACAGGTAGGAGGGTGGCTTGCAGAATGTGCCCTTTGGGCATTCAGACTGGCTAAAAGAGCTTTTTTAACACTTGACAGAACAGGGCAGAGGCCAAAGTGTGCCATGCTTGAGAAGCCAAATAGAAGAGTGAGGTAGGTCTGTAGTATGGTAGAGAAGAGGTGTTCCTGATTGGAAAACTGTTGCATGCTGAGTTGGGGTTTTTTTTTAATCCTGAATTGTACCCTATTCACTTCCCTAGTAAATCTGAGTACTGTGTGGCCATTGCAATGGATGATCAAACCGAGATATGAAGCAGTGCTGTGGGAGGCATGGCTGGTGTCAGAATAGAGGAAAGAAGGTTATAGGGTGTAGGTATGTCTGACCTCCACTTCACTGGAATCAGCCTTGAGCTGATTGAGTTTGACTCTCTCTTCCTCTTGTGAAGCCAGAGGCAGTCAGACATAGCTCCCACATGGTTTTTGCAACCACCAAAAATTTCTAAGTAGCTAGATAGATGTATATGCTACATAGATGTCAAAGGGTGCAGGGGAGGACATGCACATGCATATACAAGTATGTTGTTGTCGATTTTTAATCACAGCAATCGTATATAGGGTTTCCAAGAGTGGCTGGTGGATTTGAACTGTCGAACTTGCAGATGCCAGTCCAGTGCTTATCTTACAATGCCACACCAGGGCTTTTATACAGGTATAGTTGTAGGCATCTGTATATATAGATTATTTGTACGTTCTGCATTTATATTCATATGTAATATGTTGTTGTTGTTGTTGTTAAGTGCCGTCGAGTCGGTTCCGACCCATAGCGACCCTGTACAGGGTTTCCGAGGGTGTAAATCCTTACAGGAGTAGAAAGCCTCATCTTTCTCCCGCGGAGCGGCTGGTAGTTTCGAACCGCTGACCTTAAGGTTCGCAGCCCGATTCGTAACCACTACGCTACCAGAGCTCCTTATATGTAATATAGTAGAGTACATATAGCCACACTGCTGAAAATTTCTTATACATATATATCCAAACACCTCATGAGTTACTGGGTTATTGGCCACGAAGTTCAAGGACTATAGACTCGGGTGATATCTTGGTCATCTGATATAACAGTTCACAGAGATAATATTCTTCATCCTAGTTTGGTGAATACATCTGGGGTCTTAAAAGCTTGCAAGCAGCCATTAAGATACAACTATAACTACTGGTCTCTTCTCATGTGGAGCAAAGGAGCGTGAAGTAATCCACAGATAGTACAAACCACAGTCTCCTTTAATCTGAGAGCAGAGAACACCCTCCATCAAATAAGACTGGCCTAAAAATTCAACAGTAATGCCCACCCAAAAGGAATGTGCTCCTTTTAATAAATACTCAACTAAACGAGACCAAATGTCTTCACCTAAAACACAGTAAGATGTTCCAAAAGTAAAAACACACATACCACAAACAAACAAATGTGGAGCTAATGGTAGATTTATTTGGTGTATATAGCAAAATTCTTTGGTTTTGAAATGAGGAAATAAAATCAATCAAGTAAACCATCAAAAAACAGAGCTTAGACAAGATGCACTGAATATAGGGTTTTGTCCATTGGAAGAGACGTGGTAATGCATGAGGGGCTGGCCTCTTGGATGCAAAGTGACACAACTTGAGACACAAAAGAACACTGTTCTCGTTCCAAGAGACAGCACTGATCTTTTTGGTCTTGGTGTGGAAAATACTTACCACTCTAGTTTCAAAGTGCTGGAAACCAGGTATTTTGAGACTCAAATATTCTGATAAAAACATATCTAACCATCACACTAGAAACTAAAAAGTTGCAGACAAAATAAACTCTTTGTCCACATTGAAGACATGCATCTTTCTAGATGACTATATGGAAAAATGCAAATTTTCTCTACAGTGCTCAAGCCATTCACCCTTCTTCATCCTGGGAACAGCAGCTGAGAGAACTCGAAAACACTAGTTTACCTCTCATTTCTTCTGCAAAATTCTGACTCTGATTCAAACACTGTTTGACCTTCTTGAGTTCTTCCTCCAAGTGGCAGACTTCTCGGGCCCTCTGCTCAGACTGACTCTTAAGGAGGCTGCTTTCCTTCCTCATTTCCTAAAATAAATTATTAAAGTTGGTTATAAACAAAATAAATGCTCAAGTGAATTGGAACTTCATCCTTATTAAGGATCCCTAATGAAATCGTTTGTACATCTCACTAGGGGAAGAACCACCCTTTGCCCTAAGTACTTGCTTATTTAATCATTTACTTCATTACACACTGACAGAGCCAAGCAAGTTCAATCCCTGTGGAAAGGATATATATAGATAGATTGTTCATTTAGTATACAGTTTCATCAAAAATACCAAAGTTCCCTCATTGACAAGTGGTTAAAATTTTTAAATCTTACAGAAACCACTGAGACCCATCTTCTGAAATCCTACTTCACCATTACAAAAGAGATGGCCCTAGCAGTGCTGTGCTGGAAAGCTGCCTTCAATTATGAGTCTGGTTACTACCAGCAGATGGGTATATGTGTCACAAAGCCAAATTCAAGGAGAGAGAAATCTGGCTAATAGAAAGTACTTGAAAACTTGCTGGCAGTTGTGCTATTCATGTATATAAATTCATTTTATCATTAAATAAGACATCCTGTTGTCATTATATCCCTGTCTTCTTTGTCCTAATCCCGCTCTCTTCCACTAGTTAAACTGACCCTCTGTGGGATTCATACATCAAACAGAACTAGACGGCAGGTTGACTGATCTCAACATTGACAAGTTAAAGGTCACACCAGTCAGTGTTAAATTCTGCAGAGTGATCATTAAGGTGCAACAATGTTATTGATCTAAATTAGCATCATTAAACCACAGAAACTTTAATCACTTATTTGTTCTTCAGGCTCAGACAATTACCACTGAAATGAGATCACAGACGTGAAAGGAGAAACACCTTAAAGCACTTTAACAAGGGTAATGGAGCATTTATTAGTACTATTGCATCCCAAAATTTAGCTTTCGCCAGACCTCCATGATCAATGTTAAGATCAGTTGAATGAGTTTAGCATGAACAAGTCACCAGAATTTAACCACCTGAGTTGATTTAGCATTTTTATTTTGCAACTTATAAAATGGTTTCTAGCACCAAAAGGTCTGAAGAAAAAAACCCACAAGATTTTACAGCCTCTGAAATCCTATGAGACAGTTCTACTCTGTCCTACAGGGTTCCTTGTTCTTGTTGTTGCTAAGACCTATGGTGTCGGTTCCAAATCATAACAACACTGTATGGGTTTGAGAAGTGGCTGGTGAGCTTGAACTATTGAAATTACAGTTCAAACTGATCTTGCAGTCCAACACATTAACCCACAGTGCCTTATAGGGTCCTTATTAATCATAATCAATTCAACAGCAGTGAGTTACCCTAAAAAGAAAGATCAAATCAAGTAACACATTTGGAGGCTTGGCAAGAAAGCTGGGAAGATCCTGTGTACCACCACTTAGTACAATACCCCAATGGAAGGAAACAGGGGAAAGAGAATACCAGAGAGAAAGGGGCAGGACTTAGGTTTATGCATCTGTCAGTATCTCTCAGTATCTGACCATAACTGGAGACATTTAACTGACAAGTAAGCTTATTGGAAAGATGAGAATGTCTTTATCTCTTGTGGCATTAGCTCCATAAGTATTTGTTTACGACGAAGAAATGGTCAGCCAATCCTGGAACCCAGAAGATTTATAATGTTATAGTTATGACCAGCCCAAGAATTTCTAAAGGCCAGAATTGAGCAAATGAGCATCTGTAAATGAATCTGTAAGCTGCCAGCCATCAGCAATTCGTTTTCCAGGAGGCTATAGGCAAAGCACTCAAGACTTGAATGGTAGCTCATTATCAACATCAAGTTAAGCATACAAGGACATATTCTCCTAGGCATCTCTTGCTTCCTTCCTCACATGATTTGTAAAACTGGGCACTACTCTGGAAAAACACAACAACATTCCCTATAACCATAAGCCAGTATTGGAGCTTAGCAAGTGCTTCCACCCAGATCAACTTCAGTTTAGGAGCAGCAAGGGAAGCATCATTTCCTAGGGCCAGACAAAATAAATTTCAGTTACTGTGTGGCATCTCACGATCCCATCCATGAATTAAGCTTAATACGTCCCCTGCTGGGATAAAGCCTGTATCGTGGAAAAGAGATGATGCTAAGGATATGCTTTCCCCTTTTCACCAATCATTCTTGCCTGCCAGACCAAAGTCCTTAGAGGACCTAGTGCAGAACATACCCCTAACTTGGAAAGGACCCCAAGCCTGTGCTTCCTGATCTTGACTGTTAATGGTGGTATTTTATTGCCCAAATCCAATGCTACTTACTGGGCTGGCACCGACAGCTGGATGAGGAGCTTGTCTAGTTTACTCCATTCACTTTGATACTAAATGTTAACTTTACCCATGATTGAGCCATTAAATCACATTTCCAGCACTGATCATTTCTCATTGTAAGCAGCATATTAGTTTACTGAACACGAACAAGGAAAATTTCAATACAACTGTCACACTATTTCAGCATCCAAAACCTGTAAGCGTGCTAGACTTGTTTGGACTTACTTATAATTAGATAAAGAACGTCACCCAGAGTGATAGACTAGCACAGGAGAAATTTTCAACATTAAAAATCTCAAGTGCAGTCACCTGCCTCCCTCATCACGTTCTGTGTGTCTCTGGGTAGCAGTTAACAATGGTAGCATCTAAAGGCCATTAACAGTTGTGAAGAACAAAGCAATAGACAGATGGACGGCAATAGCACGCCTTATTTATTAAGTATTAGGCAAAAAACTTTACATATACTGTTCAATGTAACCATTTGTTGTTGTTTTTAGGTGCCATCAAGTCGGCACTGGCTCATAACAACCTTATGCACAGCAGAACAAAACACTACCTGATCCTTGACCAACCTCACCACCATTGTCATGCTTGAGTCCATCGATTCTGCCACTTGACCAATCCATCTCACTGGGGATCTTCCTCTTTTTCTCTGACCTTCTACCTTACCAAATATGATATCCTTCTCCAGTGAATGGTCCCTTCTGACAATATGCCCAAAGTATGAGAGATGGAAGTTTGGCCATCTTGGCCTCCAAGGTGCACTCTGGCTGTACTTCTTCCAAAACAGATCTATTGGTTCTATTGGCAACCCATGGCACATTAGTAGACTTGAAAAGGGCCATTAATAGTCACAATGCACAGATGAGGCTGCCTGGGTGACATAGTTAAGTTCTCAACTACTAACCCAAAAGATTAGAGTTTCAAGTCCACATAGAAGCACCTTGGAAGAAAGGACTGGCTATCTACTTCTTAAAAATCAGCAACTGAAAACTCTATGGAGCACAGTTATACGCAACAGCTAGTTTGATTTTCCATATATAGATGCGAAATGTCAAGGCTCAGAAAGGGCACACCATTTTCCCAAGGTTACACAACAGGTAAGTGATAAAGTGATGGAATTTCAGCTCTCACTATAAAGTCATCGCCATTATACTGCCCCTCTAACTAGGTCAATCACTTTTATAATCCCGATTCAAGGTTCAAGAGCCAGCTAAATCCTTAGCATTGTTAATATCATCCTCAAAATAGCAGGCACACACACATACACGTGTGTTCCTAAGCTAAGACAAAGTCAAAATTAATTACCAGGCACTGTCCTAGGCACTTTAGTATGACTGCCCTCTTTGGGCAAAGAAATCAAATAAAATTCAAACATGACATGCATTTAACTTAGTAAAGGCTTGAGTTAGTAAAGGCTAGAGTCAATTGCAGATGTTGTAGTGCTGACAAGCCAGACTTTGTGGGGATGCACACATCTTCAAAAACACCTGCACAACAATGTGCAGCCCACTACTGCAACTTAGCCAAGCAAACAGTGTTTTTAAAAGCTTTTGGACCCTTTTAACCAGACAATTGCTTTTACAAAATGTTTCTACCAGACAGCCAGTAGAGTCACAGGAGAGTTGTTGGCCTGAAGGGAAGCTCACAGAGGGAAGAGTTTGGTGCCAGTCTGCCTGTGGAAATGTTAACAGAAGCATCTGTTGGTTGGTCCCCACTGGCCAAAAGGCAAACATTTGCTTTGCTGAAATAAACACTTGCATTTGAAAACGTTTGCTGATGAAACCATCAACAGACTTGAAAGTTTTCTTCCACTTGGGTTGCTAGGGTTCTGGCCTACCATCTCCAGCAGCATTAAGGCATTAGCCCTCGGAGGTATGCTGCGCTAACAACTGCCTGTTTGCTACAGACAGATGTTCAGGTTTTACAATCACAATATACTCTCAAAGCTTTGGGGGTACATGTAAATGTCTATTATCAAGATAAACAACTGTTCTTTATAGAAAAATGTTTGCAAAAAGAATTTCTACAGACTAAAAAGTGGTCAGAGAACATTTAAAAACTGAATGGAAAAACATTGTCTTGTGGCATGTGAGGGAGAAGAAATTTCCACTACCTTCTGTTGCATTTCTTCCATAAATACAATGTTGATTTACTCTGTTATCTACAAGTGGTTCTTAGCAAGTTCTTTATAATAAATTCTAGCACACTAAGTAAACTCAGAGATTCCAGTTACAAGTATGTTGAATAAAATCCTACTGGTAGATTGAGTACTGCTAGAATCCATGCTATTTGTGAACTCTTCCCTACCATTTTGTATAATAAAGATAAATCTCCAAAGATATTATCAATTAGTGCTTGTATACACTGAACACTATGTTAATAATGATTGTCAAAGCCAAAGTATCTTTGATGCTTTTATAAGAATTTTAAATCAAGAAACTATTTCATCAGTTATTGCTTTGTATAAAACTGTAACTTTCCACAAGGTCATCTATATTTGATGAATCAAGTTAGTCCTTGGAGAAAAAAAAAAGTTAGTCCTTGGAAAAGGGATTTAAATGCTCCCCATCACCAATTTTGTTTCTCTCCATGTAGAAATTTCCTTTTCGTTTTTTCTCTTTCATCTTTCCAGACTCCCAGGAAGTCTACACCTATTGTTTAAAAAAAAAAATTGTACAAGTTCCTAATGCTGTTGTTGCTATTAAATGCTGTCCAATCAGTGCCAACATAGTGATCCTGTATAGGGTTTCCAAGGAGTGGATGGTGGGTTTGAACTGCTGATCTTTTGGGTTAGCAATCCAGTGCTTTTCCTATAATGCCACACCAGAATTCCTAATACAAGCCATTAATTTTCCTACTATTAATAATATACATTTATTAGTAATGATATCGAAATGGAATGTGAAAAACAATACTATGTTCACAGAAAAACAATACTATATTCAATGTCATAGATTACTTGTAATATTTCTGGCAAATAGAGGAACATACTAGCAGGTTTCAAAAAGTTCATGAAAATAAATGGAAGTAAAACATAGTATTCCATTAACTTGTTTAAGTATATGGTATGATAAATTTCTTTTAACCTCCACACCTTACTTAACTCATACAGCAGCTGATTACTGCTCTACTCCTTCCTTACCTCACTGCTTCTTCTCAGCTCATCCTCTTTGACCTGACATGCCTGTAAAGCCTGTTCAGTTCTGCAGAACTTTTGCTTAAGTTCTTCAATTTTTCTTTCTAGCTGTTGCTTCACTGATGTCACCTACCAAGAAAAAAAAAAGCAAGGTGTAAAGTCTAATGGTTTTGATTTTTTTAAATCATTAATTCTTAAATATTAAAAAGGTTATTGACTATAATTTACAACATCTTTCCTGGTGAGACACAATATCTATCACAGCTAAATACAGCACTGTAACTACCTTAAAATACTACACTGTCAGTCTGTGACATTATTTAGGGACAGGCATAGCAAAGAGGAAAGAAGCTGAGTTTTGGGAGGAAACCAAAAGACGAAAGTATGTATCTGGCAAAAGGAAAACAACCAATAATAAACAAACAAACAAAAAAAAGAGTTAAGGCAAGAAACAGACTAGAGAACATATTTGCAATACAGTAAAACCTGTGAAAGCTGGAACCTATTAAGGTTGACATCTGTCAAAGAAAAACTATTTTCCTCTAAAATGAACAACCAAAAAATAATAAAACTGCACCTTGTCAAAGTTGGAAAACTTGCAAGACTCAGGAAAACAACACAGTTCACTTGAGTTCCCGCTCTCACAGGCTCCATTGTATACATAAAAGATCACATTTACAATATAAAGCATACCTACAATTTACAAAACAGCAAACAAATTAAATGATAGAAACATAAGAACTTAATACTGAATCAACTTTTGAAAGAAATGACCTCAATGTCATTTCTGATGCCATTTTCATTCCTGAGTTGGCAGCCTGAACAGCCAGGACTATCTATTAGCAAGGATAAAAGTGAAAGTTCCTCCTCTTACAGCTGGTGGAAGAATAAACTGCTACAAATTTCTTGGAGGGGATTTGGCACTATCTATCAGCTGCACACGAGCCCTCAAAACTACCAATTTCATGCCTCGAAATCAGTCTTACAAGAAATACCAGTATACATCTTCCCAATGGTATAACAAACAGTGTGGTGGTGAGCAAGAAAATGTTGGGAACCTAAACACCCATCACGTAGGGAATAATTAAGCTACAAAAGATCCATTAAAACCAAGGCTCAGCAATATCAATAGAATATCCTTTTTTAGTTAAAAGCTATTCATAACAATTTATTCTGAGAAGTCCAATAGGAATAATATTGTTTTTTTGGTTAAATTTGCACAAATGACTAGACAATACATCTATAAGCACTTCACATAGTTTCTAAAATACAACAGGTGTCAATAAATGTTAGCTATTCCCATCCTCAGCTCCCTGTTCCCATCTCTGATAACATTAATACAGAATGTGCTAAGAGGCTCTACATAAATGGTACAGTCTTAATTTTAGAAAATAAATGTAACTCTGAAAAAAGATCAATACCTGACATACTCAAAGTAAACTCTAAATTACGCTGCTCCCTCTGACAAAACGAGTCAAAAAGAAAATTAACTACTCTTACGTTCTGCCATCATACAGCTCTAGGTAGGATAGATACAGCAGTGAACTTAACAATTCTGTTATTAAGGAACTTAAAAATCGAAGCAATGGAAGGAAACAATACAAAAGAAACAGCTACACGTCGTATGATAAGCACAATGGAAATAAAATAATAAAGCAGGGTATGTTGTTGTTAAGTATCATTGAGCCAGTTCCGACTAATAGCAACCCTGTATAGGAGCTGCTGATGGGTTTAAACTGCCAACCTTGCGGTAAGTGGTCAAGTGCTCATCCTAGAGCACCAAACAAGGATTCCTTGAAGCAGGATATAAAGAGAACAAAATACTTGGTTGCAGGGATGCATGCAGTGACAAGGGAGGACATTACCAATAAAGTGACATTTGACCAGAAAGCTCAAATTAGTGACTGAGTAAACTATGAGGCTCTGAAGAAAGGCTATTCCAGGAAAAGGGAGCAGCAAGAGTGAGGAGACAGCATGTGTTTGTATGTTCAATGAACAGCAAGGTCATGTGGTTACAAAAGTGGCTGAGAGAAGAGTAGGAGATGGACCGGGACCTAGCACCTGTAGACCTTTGAAAGGATCTTGCTTTTACTAAGGGAGACAGGATGTGATGATACAGATTTGAGTGGCTTGATGTGACATATTTTACAAGGTGTATCGGTTGCTGGGTTGACTGGAGATTGTAAGGAGACCAGGGAAGAAGCAGGGAGATTAATGAGGAGGTCCTAACAATAATGCAGGTGAAAGATGATGGTGGTCACGATGGTGAAAACAGTCATATTCCACATAAAAAATCCACCAGTCTCAAGTTGAAAACAGACATCTAGGCTGAGTCACCAGAGTCACCATGACCAAAAAGTCATAAAACTGGGTCATGAAATCACTTTGGAGTGAGTGTTAAAGAGTAAACTAATTGAACTGTTCGATATTTTGGGGCATAAATTACTCCCACCTGGTCACAAGAATCACCAGCGTAGAGAGACATCCACAGACTGGCAGAACTGAAAATCCTAACCCACTCCACTCTTTCTGGAGACAACAAAACTGAGTCCTCCCAAAGCTACAGTATGCACTCCACCTTGGGTAATAAGGAAAGAGCAGCTAGAACATTCTTTAAAAGTACTATCTGTCAGGTACGGTATAGAAGTAATGAGTAAAACTAAAAGATAACTGAGGAAAGAGAGAGAAAGTGGCACCATACTTTATCCAGTTCAGCCTGAAGCATATTGTGAGCATTCTTGGCTTGTTGCAGCTCCTGAGTGAGCTTGGCTTTCATCTGTGTGCACTCTTGATCCAGTGTTTGAAAAGACCGCTGTTGACAACATAGCTCCTAAAAAAGCAAAAAAATATATACACATTAAACTGACCATGGGTAAAAATGGAGATTCCAGGTTACTAGACTGAAGGGCAGTAGATAATAGGGAGTCCAGCCAACCATCCATTTTGTCACTGACAACTCAAAGAGCTGAGCTGCAAACCATCAGGACTCAGTTGAGAATGTAAACACACTCAAAATCAGGGTTTAGAGCATCATATACCAGTTACAATGGGCTTCAATTAGTAATAGAACACTATATGCCACCAATGAACTTTAATACCCATAGAAGGACGCCAGATGAACATCTCCAGGTGCTCTTCTTATTCAAAGACTCAATCTAGATGATACACTTTCAGATGCTAACTCAAGTAAACGAAAAACACTGACAGCAGTTCCCAAGGAAGGAAGTGTGACTTCTCCGCTAAGTTCTCCTTCGACTGCATTCCCTACTACATTAACTACTCTTCTCACTATTTGTAGACCCAATCTTTCAAGCAGCTGAAAAATGTAATATAATTTCCTTCACCAGGAAAGTTCTATAAACAAGAAACGTGATCTTTTTCTTCTCAATATCAAATCTCATACAAGTCTGAAAACATACATAAAAGAAAATTCTGACTTCGAACTTCTTCCTTCAATTAAACACAGAAAGGTGCTCTATAAAGGTGCTCAATTCACAACAGAAAGTTTCAAAAACAAAAAATGTGAAAGGCAGAAAATAAAGTGACTTTTATGTTCACAAAACATATTCCCCTCTAACGGAATATCACAAATGACAAGAAACCAGTTCTTCTCAAATGATCAAACTAAGAAATGCTAGCAAGCATCTTCTAAGACAAATGTCTCATGGATCCACAACCTTACCTGTTGGAACTCCTTTTCTCTTTCCTTCATTTTCTGTTCCAGGGAATATCTGGCACTTTCCGCATTTTGTCGCTGACAACTCAAATCTTCAGTCAATTTTTTCAATTTTTGTTCCAATGCAGCACACTAACAACAAAATATGTTTAATACAAAACAAAAATTATTCAAGGAAAGTAGCAAGTATTGGAGTTTTAGAAAAATTAGTCATAAGGTCTGGCTCAAGCTTACCGTCATTATATTGAGAATCTTGGACCCATGTTTATGAAATAACATCAGCTAAATATCAAGACAACTAAAATTATTTTGTTTGTTTTGTTACGCACTGCCGAGACCGTTCCAACATACAATGACCCTGTATACAGTTTCCAAGAAGTGCCTGGTGGATTTGATCCACCAATCTTGTGGTTGTCATCCAGTGATTATACTACAGTGCCACGCCAGGACTCCACATTAAACTTACACTAAGGAGGAAACATTAGCAAAGATGTAGGGTGTTAGTCCATTTAAATGATGCTTCATAAGCATTTCTGGACAACAATTCTAAGATTTTGGTTGCATGAAAATAAGAGATTAAATGCAGTGGAGTTGGCCTATTTAACTTTACAACCTGGAAATATCAGCATACCCACTACCGTTAAATGGAAGTCTATTTCAAGCATAATGGATTTTGTGGTCATTTTTGAATATCAGAACGATTTCTTGTTGGAACCTATCCAGAGAAGCAGTGACTCAAGAGATGAGGACATGGAGAGATGGAGCCGCTGAGGATTCTAGACTCATGGAAAGAGAAAGGCTGTGTGCTGGTGGCCAGGAGGCAGGCTTGCAGAATGTGCCCTTTGGTTGTTTGAATGATTAAATATTCCTTGTTTTTGTGTTTATAATAAATCTTTTAAAAAAAGAGAGAGCTATAACAGATGTAACAAACGCAACAGCTTCTTGCAAACAACACATGTAGCTCATGTCTCCTATATACAAGGTGACTATAATAGTAGGTATAGAATAGTACAGTAGATACATAATCTATAACACGTCTTGATAGTCATAATGAACACCAAAATTGCTGGCTTATGCATTTATTGTACTGTACTATCATTTTAATGTGAACTTTCCCTACTTACCAATAAAAGTTTATTGTAAAAAAAAAAAAAAAAAAAAGATTCCTAACACAATGTTCTCACTTTGTTGTTAAGTGTCATTGCGTCGATTCCGACCCATAGTGACCCTTACACAGTTTCTGAGGACTGGCTGATGAGTTTGAACCACCAACCTTGTGATTCCAAGCAACTTTGCACCCAAGCACATTAACCCACAGCACCAAACCAAGACTCCTTGTTCAAGTGTCTGGAAGTTTATAACAGTTCAGTGAAAACCTGAAATGGTCTTTAAACCAACATAAGCAATACAAACAATGTTCTTGTATTGGCTGTTCTTATTCTTTCTGTATAGTAGCTAAAGGAGCTCCTGGTAGTGTAGTGGTTATGCATCGGGCTGTTAACCTCAGGGTCAGCAGTTTGAAACTACCAGCTGTTCCACGGGAGAAAGATGAGGCTTTCTCCTCCTGTAAAGATTTACAGCCTCGGAAACCCTGTACAAGGTCGCTATGAGTTGGAACTGACTGCACGGCACATACCAACATCCCTGAAACTAATTTCTTAAGTGAGTGTGAACTCCTTTGACTTTAGAAATTAGGTTAGAACAAAATGGTCATGAATTCTTCAAGTGCTGACTCCCATTCCTCTAAATCTGCCTCAAGTTGCTTGAATCCTTGAATTGCCACAAAGCAACTCTAAAATCCTGCAGAAGAGTAATTAAACTTTATATTGGTTAAGAATGCACTGGTCCAATCCCCCTCTAAGACTGAAACTCAAAGGGAACACATGAGTAGGCATACAGTGCGCTTGCTGATGACCACATTGGTCTACTGGTGAGTGGAAGAGGGGCAAAGGCAGCAATGAAGAAATGCGCTGAGTTCAACCATGTTCCATAGACTCCTGTTGACCTGGAGATGACAGAGAGAAGAGGAAAGGGCTGGTTGGTCCAAAGTGTGGTGAGACCTTGGGAACATCTGAGCCCATGGACAAGGACACAGCCACAGAGGGCTAGAGCTGAAAGTGAAGCATGCAACTGAAATGAAGTGAGGGGAGACACACAAGAGCATCCAAACTTGCAGATAGTACCTATTTGACCTAGCCTTGATGGCTTGATAATCAGAACTCAACTAGAGGAAGATAAAAAAGAAAACAAATTTTGATAAAGGAAATGAGGGTACATTACTGCAATTTGATGAACATGACCTATAGTCATAGAGGTAGTAACTCTAAATCTTCCCATCAAGTATCAAGTACACAGGGTACATAGGTATGGGCAACTTAGACATTTGCTACTTAAAGTGAGGGGGCGATAAAAGCATGAAGTGACTGGCTTACAAAATTTCAAGAGAGTTTAAGTGTGTGGAGGGAAGAAAGAGTCCCCACTGAATAGTTTTCATCTGTCTAGATAGGTCTGGTAAAAACAGATGGGATAAGAGTCTTATGATTCCATAGTGAGTAGGACCATCAAGAAAGAAGAGCACAAGCAGAATGCGGGACCGCATCCAGAGAAGCAGCGACACCAGAGATGGAGGCAGAGATGGGGACATGGAGAGAGAGAGCGGCTGAGGACTCTAAATTCATGGAAGAGAGGGACTCTCTGGTGGCCAGGAGGCAGACTTGCAGAATGCACCCTTTGGTGGTGTAAATTATTATATACGCCTGAGTGCTAAAAAAAAAAAAAAAAAATTAATGTGAATAAAGATATTCTGTTATCTGATGGTACATGGAGGGGATTATAATCATTATAATGAAACAAGGTGTAAGATTTGTTGAATGTAAAACTGTTAATCTGCCCTGTAAACTTTCACTCAATTCACAAAAACTTAAAAAAAAAAAAAAAAAGCACTGGTCCAAAAGAAATATGCCTCAATTTAGCTAATCTCCAACGAATAGAGGGTTTGGCAGAGATCCATTAGTTTAATTTAGAACTATTCTGTTGTTACATGCAGTCAAGTCAGTTTCAACTCATAGTGGCCCTGTATGGGGTTTTTCAAGGTTACAAATCTTTACAGGAACAGAAAGCCTCATTTTACTCCCATGGAGGTACTGGCAGGCTCGAACCACAAACCTTGTAAACAAAAGTCCAGTGCTTATCCTACAATGTCATAGTGCTACCTTAGAACTACTAGAGATGCTATAATTCTAAGATGAAATTTGGTCATTATTGGCTAAATTGTTTTACAAAAGTCAAAACTGTGAAAATAGCAAATTCAGAAAGTAAAATAATGAATCAGTGATTCAAATTAATCTACTTTCCTAGACATTCATAAAACAGCCCTGTTCCTCATTATCCTAGATTTTATTTTTTTAAAAATTAAGGTCAATATGAGTCAGAACCAACTTGATAGCAATGGGTTTGGAATGTGAAGGAATATTACAGAGACTATAAGAATAATAAATAAGAATTCGAAAGCAAGTATTAAGAGCCTGGACTAATTACAATGTCAAAGTTCATACCTATCACCTCCTTGGAAACCCTATGCAGGGTTACTATGAATCCGAACCTACTTGATAGCACTTAACAACATATGCCAAACACTGTTCTGGCACTTAGACAAAAATCACTGCCCAAAGACACAATGGTTGATTGGAACAACATGGTCCACAAAGACAAATGTTCTACATTGTACTTTTGTAAGTGTTGTTGTCAGGTGTAATCGAGTTATTCCGAGTCATCGTATGACCTTATGCACAACAGAAAAAAAGCACTGCTCAGTCCTATGCCATCCTCACAATCGTTGCTAAGGTTCAGTCCATTGTTGCTGCCACTGTGCCAATCATGAGCAGTCATTTAAGGTGCAACTAGTTCTGGTAGTGTAGTGGTTACAAATCGGGCTGCTAACCTCAGGGTCAGCAGTTTGAAACTACCAACTGTTCCTCAGGAGAAAGATGAGGCTTTCTGCTCCTGTAAAGGTTTATAAACTCAGAAACCTTGTACAGAGTCGCTGTGAGTCGGAATAGACTCCACAGCACATAACAACAATTGGTCTCACTCCATCCAGAGTAAAGAACAATGATGCTTGGAGACCATGTGAACATCAGTCTCAACGACCCTGAGACCAGAATAACTAGATGATATCTGGCTACCACTACCAACTGCTCTGAAAGGGATCACATTAGAAGGTCCAGGAAAGAGTGGGAGAAATATGGAGCAAAAATCACAACCATAAAAAAAGAAGGGGCATAGGGGTCTGCTAAAGATTGGTAGAACCCCCAAGTCAACGGCCCTTGGTTTGAACTGAACTCACCCCCAAGGTTCAATTTTCAGCCAAGCGCAACAGCTAGCTAGATATATGAGGGGTACAACGCCAATGAAGTGTAGCATTTACCCAAGGACAGAATTCAGAAGAGTAAGAAAGGAGGAGGAAGAGAAAACAATAAACAGGGAAGTGGGATAAGTGATGTTACATTACCTCAATCAAGGTGAAAAAAAGTCTCTGATTTGCTGAATGTAAAACTGATAAGCTGCTCTTAAACTTTTGCTCAACTCACAATAAGTAAAAAAAAAAAAAGATTTCCTAAATGTCTCAAACTGATGGTTAACAATTCTCAGGTAAAAGCTACACATAGCAGAGGAGATGCATGAACTCTTGGCTCCCTCTGCTGGCATTCCTTCAAATTACAAAACATTCCACTAATGTTTTACTTCAGAATCAAGAATTTTTTCCTCCTAGAAACAATGTTTTTTTTTTAAAAGACAGGGCCCTGAGAAGGTACTTACAATTTACTTAAAGTGTTTTTCAGTGGCAGTCTAATGTCAACAGTGTGCAAAACATGTAAAAGCAGCTGACCACTAGATGTCATGAATGCTCCATTACTCTGAAACTGTACTCAAAATTCAAGTCTTTTTTTAAAATAAATAATGATATACCTACCACATGCCCCTGGGAACTCACTCAGTACTCTGAGGCCAACTTTCTCATTTGTGGAAAGTGGATGTTAAACTCCAGCTTAGGCGCAAGCCCCAACACTGTTTCTGTAAGAGTTCAAGCCTTGTACCCCTCAATGGTTAATAATGCTTAGAAAAGAACCATACTAGAAATAGCGATGCTCCATGGTAAATTTTTAAAATTTGCTTCATTTTATCTGACAGGTAACTCTAGTGGCAGAACAGGGAACAAGCATAAACTGAGTTTAACTTAATTTCAGGAACATACTGGACAATCTTATTAACCTTAAAGTCAAGATGGAAAAAGGTAGATTAAATTTTCAGTTAGGACAACTTGTACCTTATTGGAAAAAAGGAGCTCAGAGGGAACTAACGAAAGGAAACAGGAACTTGGAGGGAAATTTCTAATAGAAAGAAAGCCAGGACTCTGGTCTAGCACCATCCCAGTCAAAAACTTTAATTGACAATCTGGAAAGACTTAATTAACCAAATATGTAGGTAGAACAAGAATCAATAACCTTGTCATACCTAAACCAACAAGGTAAAACATAAAAGGTAATATAAATTCTCAGAGTTCAGTATCATAGAGTGTGGGGAAGATAGAATCCCCACTGAATAGTTTTCATCTTGTCTAGATGGGTCTGTTAAAAGAGATGGGGTTAAGATCCTTATAATTCAATAGTAATTGTCATGATGACTAATTGATGATACGTGGAGGAGATTGTAATCATTGCAATAAAACGTTGAGTGTAAAACCCGATGTTCTCCCATGTAAACTATCACTCAATTCACAATAAAAACTTTTAATAAAATGTAAATTCTTATACTTAGGAAGGTAAAACATGACAAAAATGAAACTGAAAATGAATATAATTGACTATAAACTCAATACGATAATAAAAGCTCAAGTGTGAGCAAAGCATTGGAGTCTAGAGATTATGTTCAAAAAACACCAAAATTTTGATTGGTCCTAGAAAATAATTCATGTCTTCCATAGCACTTATCACCATATATCATACTACATGTTATTTATATTTGTCATAATCTACTTCCCACAATTACAATGAAGCTATAAGGACTTGGAACAATGCCTGGCATACAGTAGGAACTTAATGTCACCAGAATAAGTGAATGAAAAAAAAAAGAAAGAAAACACTGAAGAGGCAGGTGGTAGGTTGGTGGTGGTGGTGATGTGCTTTGGAGTCGGTTCCAACTCATAGTGACCCTGTATATGGTTTCTGAGGCTGTAAATCTTTACGGGAGCACAAAACCTATTCTTTCTCCCGCGGAAGAGCTGGAAGTTTCAAACTGCTGACCTTGTGGTTTGCAGTAGTGGTTACGTATCAGGCTGCTAATTTCACGGTCAGCAGTTGGAAACTACTAGCTGTTACGCGGGAGAAAGATGAGGCTTTCTGCTCCGTTAAAGATTTACAGCCTCGGAAACCCTATACAGGGTCGCTATGAGTCGGAACCGACTCCACGGCACATAAACAGCAATGGCTAGTGACCATGAACATTTCTTCATATGTTTGCTGGCTGTCCTCCCTGTTGAAGTGTGTTTATGTCCTGTGCCCATTTTTTAATTGGATTATTTGTCTTTTTCTTGTAAAGGTGTTGTAGCTTCCTATATATTTTAGAAATAAGTCCCTCAGGGCCTCTCAAATAGACAAAGGAGCTCAGTCTTAATTGGAGCCTTAAAATGCAGGAATGTAGTCACATATACTTGATTCTAAGACTGTTGTGTGCTGTTGAGTTGCTTTCAACTCACAGAGACCTTGTATAGGGGTTTCTGAGAGCAGCTGACAGGTTTGTTCTGCCAACCTTGTTACAGCCCCACAACAGGGCTTATCAGTCTAGAGCTACCTAAATCTTACCAAATGTCCAAAATTTCTTATAACGTTCTATTACTTTAATATGTAAGTACCTATCCACAGTGTCAGGCACTGTGCCAGGTGCTGTATATATGGTTGTTGGACGCTGTCAAATCGATTCCCACTCATAGTGACGGGATGTGACAAAATAGAGTGCCCCTCTCCCCGAATCCCAATAAGATTTCCTTGGTTGTGACCTTTATGGGAGCAGACTGACAGGTCTTTCTCAGGGTCACTGAGTAGTTACAAGCTGCCAACCTTTTGAATACCTTTCTAGTACTTAACCGTTGTGCCACCAAGGCTCCTTAGGTGCTGCATATGCATTATCTTCCGTGACTTGCCCAGAATCACTCAGTGGGGCAAACGCATAGCCAGGAGTTAACCCCAGACCAGCTCAACCCTGCAACATCTTACTAGTCCAGTTACATCAACAATGTCTAGCATGCTTTTATGAAGACCACTTCTAATATTTATTTCACGCATTTAAGTGTCAGGTAGTCTTTCCAAATACCTGTATGATACAATGGGAAATTTTCAAGAATGCAGGAAAAGCCAAGTAAGTACCTTAGTAGATGCCTGGTCATATTGTGCCGCTGTTCTCACTAGTTCATCACTATTTTTGTTCATAACTTTCTCTTTCTCTGTTAATTCCACTTTTGCCATCTCCAGTTGGAGTTGGAGTTCTTGAAATTTATTCACTTGACTATTCATTTCTTTTTCTTGTCCTTGCAGACGTACTTCCAATTCACTTATTTGGTTTCTTAGTTCTAAAATCACAAACAAAAAATAACACTTCAATCAGTATGCATTTTCTGCAGAAGTTTTACAACTGAATTCAGAATTTATCATCCACTTCACCTTGTTCTGAAATCTTTGGCAGAAAATATGATTTGCATTCAACACAAAGCTATTTTAATTGGTTTTTAATCTCAATGTTTAGTCTCTCTATTGTCAGTTGCATTGAAATACGCTCTTGAAATCAGACAGCAGATATTCTGACTTTTTAAGAGAAACTTGGTGGGGTGGGTGGAGGTGAAATGCTTTTCTAAAATCGCAGTGTTTTATTCCGACTGCAAAAAGCGCATCATACGTAACACCCTTCATTAAAATTACCACTTGGTTTTATATACTGGCAGACTAACATTTGTTTTGTGCCCATATGAATGCAAATTGGTGCTAAACAGTGAAAAGACTCACCGTCCTATATTCTCGAGCAGCTTCACCTCCACTAAAGATCAAGACAGTGTGAACCTCCTATACTGCCAAAATTAACAATGATTTTTTTCATCACCCCTCTACTCATACACACTATATTGGCTCCAATAGCACTGGCAGTGTGACAACTCTCACCACTGAACACCGATGGTGATTTCCATATATCATCGCACTGGAAATGATCATATTCTACAGAACAGATTCCAAACCACCACCTGGTACCCTTGGCTGTTGACTGCAGCATGGTGCGCAGCAGCCAAGGTTACAGGTTTAATCCCATATGGACAAGCTGGCAAGGCAAAGCAAAGCTGTTCTGTAGACATGTGCCACACCTCTGGCCAAAGCTGGTCAGAACCCAAGGGCTGCAAAAGCAGCCATTTGAGAAGTAGGAGGAATGCTAACTGCATCCACTCTTAACTCGTCCTACTCATCCATTCATCCTATTTGTGAAGGCTTCAGAGCACCAACGTTTGTTAGTACAAATAAAGGTACACCCCAAAAGTGTGGTATCTTCTACCCTTTACCTAATACACAGTTATTTCTCAGCACCCATCTGGGAAGTTGACAACTGATGTGCACAACAAACCACATCAGTGCTTTCTGGAACTAACATAGAATCACCTGTGAAATTAAATCAGGAAAATTTTACCTTAAATTAATTTAGCTCACAAAGTTACCTTGATTCTGGGATTTTAGTTGATCCAAAAGTTGAAAATTGCTAGAATTATCACAGAAGCTGCAATTTGTGTCTTTTTGCCCTACTTGTACAGTCGGTCTACTTGGAGTCACCTCTTGTTTCCCAACACAGTGAGATGCAGAGAAATCTCTCCTAATCGGAGTTTTCCGAGTACTAGATGAAAGACGGCGACTTGGCGTCTTCTCGTGTTGCCATGAGAACACTGACGAGGAAGCTTGATGTCGAGCAATCTCTCGGTGATTCATGGTGCTTTGGGAAATAGCAGGGCTTGCTTTCTGCAAAAAACATAAACTCTTTAGAGCCCTTTAGAAACCTCAGTATTCAAAGCTGTTTATTTCCAGATAGAACTTCAAGCCATAATGACAAGGTGTTATTAATACTTCCACTCTGCACCAAGAAAGATGTAACATTCCATACCATAATATGGATGAACTTTGAAAGCATGCTGAATAATAATAAAGTCAGTCATAAAAAGACAAATACTTTTTTTATCTCATTTCTATGAAACAGGCAACTATATAAAAATGAAAGTTTATAGTGGTAGAAAGGTGGAAGACAGAGTTACTTGCTTAAGGGGTGGAGAGTTTGTTAATGCTGAAAGAATAATTCAGAAAACCTTAGTGCTAACTAACAACTGCACACATATAGAATGTAATCAACAGAAATATACATGCAAAAATTATATTGCTGAATTTTTTTTCCACCCAATTAAAAAACAAACATTTATTTGAAAAACCGTATTATTGTTGTTAAGTGCCACTGAGATCCTTCCAACTCATAGAGATCCTGTATAGGGTTTACAAGGGTTTGAACTGCTAGCTTATGGTTCACAGTCCAGCGCCACCACACCAGAATGTATATATAACAATAAGCATTCTTCAAGTTAAGGGAACCATCAAAGCCCCATGATCCAGTGACAAAATTACTTAAGAGTCAGCTTTCTGTGGCATTTAAAGCCAGTACTGTATGAGGCTCAGACCAGTTTAAATGCACCAAGTCTCAGCACTTATTCTACATCCCTCACGTACTCCTGAAACATGAGTATTCACTGCCATTTTGAACCCAACACTGGCTTTCATAGGTTGTATAGCCCTATAGCATTGCAGAGAATAAAAATAAAATATAGGCCTAAAGAACACTTTCTAGAATTTGACTTTCTACCACAGTGGTGGTGATTCTGTGCCATCGAGTCACTTCTGACTCATAGTGACCCCATACAGGGTTTCCAAGGCCGTAAATCTTCATGGGATCAGAAAGCCTCTCCTTTCTCCTGCAGAGTAGGTGGTACACTCAAAAAGTTGACCTTTTGGTTAGTTGCCCAATGTATAATCCACTATACAACCAGAGCTCCTTTTCACCATAGTACTCTCCAAAAAAAAAAGGAAAATGTTATAGAGGGAGTTTTATAATATTTATGAATAATCTGCTACTTTGAATTGCCTGAGTTGTGCTTGTACATTTCTTATAGTGAGAGATTTTCTTGCCATAATGAGAGGTTTAATGTTTAGGGAGTCTCACATTCCTCCATAAAATAACTTTGGGAAGTAACATCAGGGGAAGAACTCGTTCATATGACTGAACTGGATGACAAAGCACATGGTATTTCTATGACACATCAGAGAATTATTTATTTGATTTGCTAAGCAATGATTTTGCTAAATATCAGAATTGTAGTGATTTCCAAATGAGGGTGGTAAAGTCCTAAAAAGAATTTAAGTTGTTAAAATTCTAACAAATTGATACAGTTTTAAGTATTGATTCTTAAATTCTTGACATTTTCAGTATGTACTTATCGTTTCAGAGTCCTGGTGTGGTGCTGTAGGATAAGCACTGAACTGCTAACCAGAAGTCAGTGGTTTGAGCCCATCAGCTGTTTTTCAAAAGTCTTATCCCAGGTCGCAATGTGTCAGAACCGACTCATAGGCACAAAACAACAACTTATAATTTCATATGTAGCAGAAATGTCAATAAATGCCAAAATGGTTTGCTTAGCCTATAATGCATCACAAACGAAAACAACAGACAAAAATTCTATACTCCTATATATCAACTCTTTTCAGGTTCAGGACCAGAACTGTAAGTAGGGATTTTAGAAAATGTGTGTTCTATTTCTTTTGTTAACATAAAGTAAATCTCTTTATCCACCTCTCTGCTTCTCTACTGATATCAAAAAAATTGAGTTAATACTCTTATTAGCAGCTAATTTCAAAGGATTGAAGAATGATCTTGATAACTTACAAACAACTTATTTCAGGTAAGGTTAACGACCCTCAAACCCCAGTTTCTGGTAGGAATCACATCCAACCAGAAGTACAGCAAATAAAACAATTGCTTCTAAGTGACTAAACTAGCCAGTGAGGAGCATGAATGTTGCTGGGAAAATACTAACATGGCTATTAATTCTGTATTCCCATGAATACTTAATATTTGTACTAACTTCCGTACTCAATTTTACTTACTCCTATATTTAAAACTGGAGTCCTGGAGTGGCATTGTGGGATTATGCAATGGACATCATACATGTGAATCGCAAGCCCAGCAGTTCAAACTCACCAGCTACTCCTCGGAAACACTATCAGGGTTGCTATGAGGCAGAATCGACTCAAAGGTACTTACAATAACAAATCTTTAAATTAAAACTATAAAAAATAATCACAACCGATGGCGCATGGAGGGGCCTGTAAGCAATGCAGTCAAACAAAGTACAATTGGTTGAGTGAAAAACTGATGTTCTGCCATGTAAACTATCACTCACTTCACAATAAAAGCTTTATGTAAAAAATAATAATCACAACCAATGAGGAAAGATCTTAATTTTATCAGTATAAGAAAATGTGTCTGCTCTATGTAAAGTAGATTTCACCTAATCTAGTTCTCATCCCTGTCAGAATACTTCTATAATTGCAAAGTCAATCATAAGACCCATAGTTAACTTACTTTAGCCTGCAAGACTTTAACCTCTGCTTCTAGTCTTTTTCGTTCTTCCACTTCTTTATTATATTTTTCTTTTAAGTCTTCATACTTGGAACCTAAAACACAATGAAATGCAGTTTAATTTTCAATCACTGAACTGATGGAAGAATTCACAGGCCAATAGTCTTTACAGAGAATAATCTAATTCTGTGGCTCAATGTAGTTCAATAAATCAGCAAGTGGTTGCATTAAAAAATTTATAAGAATTAAAAATTTGAGTCAACATTGAATTAATTTTTTGACTGAACTAAAATCTCTCAACAGAAGAGCTATTTACACCAAGGAATAAAATACTTACCACCATAATACTGACTTGGTGTGAGTGGAGTTGGGAAAATGTTCTGGGGGGTGCTGCCTGGATTCAAAGGGACATCTGCAGGCGGCGCAGACTGTCGGCTTCTTTCAAGCTCAGATTTACACCTGTTAGAAAAAAACCAAAGAGGATACCAAATCAGTTTGAACAAAGGATGCAGTATACCAAAGCCATAGATTCCATAATCAACTTATAAAGAAACCCATTCTTCTAAAACTTCCTACAACTTCTTATACCCAAAAGATATCTATGAAGAACTAATGTGTGAATATAAACACAGCTCCCTGTCAAAGGAACTCAGTACAATTGAATAAACAGAATGTAAACCAATAATTACATTGTTGTAAAGGCGCTGAGCAGGGGGTCTCAAGTCATGAGGATGGATGAAATGACTTATTTATAGATGAAGTCATGACCACAGCGTAGACTTTACTGACATACCATTATATGATATTTTAGAACAACGTTTTAAAACACAAACATAAAAATAAGTTGCTGTAATACCCCTAGAGAAGATATGGCTACAGTTATAAAGGAAAGGGAAAGGGAGATTGATTACATATTGCATATGTGTGCAGAAAACATCCCTACCATTCAAGTAAGTTTTAAACACTTCTCAGAATCATGCCACCCATGCTGGCAAAGGGCTCAACACTTCCAAACATCTAGTGTGCAATTTGAACATGAGAAATGCAATGAACACCCTAATGGCAAGCACCAATCTCTCTGTCATGGGCACATTACTCTGAGCAAGGAGTGAAGATAATGTCTCAACTCTCCCTTGTTTCACTGAGGTCCAAAGTCTGGGAAGGCCATGAGGGTCTCAACTCCCCTGCATCCCTAGTTCTCCCCACCAGCTTTTCCACTTTAAGAGACCACAAGCCATCAGTGTAAGCCATGTTTAACTTTCATGTTTGCAATTCTGAATAAAATTGCACTCCTCTTTTCCTCCATCTTTTACACATATAAAATATTCTCCTCTAAAGTTTATCCAAAATTAATCCCCTGTGTTGGAAGCCCATTATCTTCTGCTTTCTTTCTCCTCAGGAACCGTGTCTTATTCTATTTTCTGTTTTTCACTACCTTCTCTATCAATACTAGTTCGTATACTCAAGATATATAATATCTTCAAAGTTCTCTCATTTCTAACAGAAGCATCTGTCTCACCATACCTGCCCAGTGACATACCATATTCCCTCTTATAGCCAAGCTCTGAAAAGTTGACATTACTTCCTCACCTCCTACCCCTCCTTGGCCACTAAGTCCACTCCTTTACACTCAAACAGCTCCCCAAGATCTTCAATATCCTTTGTTGCTAACCCAGCAGTCTTACTTTGCTTGATTCCTCTGCATAATTTTGAGATGATTACTTCTTCCTTCTTGAACCTTCCTCTTGACTTCAGGAATACCATACTTTCCTGATAAGTCATCCCACCTTCCTGGCTTTTCCTCAGTTTTCTCTTTAGGACCCTATCTCTGACTCTTTTTTATATGATAGTATCTCTCAAGGTTCTACACAAGATCTTCCTACTCTCTACACTTTTTCTAGATAATCTAAATCATTCTCCTGGCTTCCTTATCTGCTGAGACCTCCCAAATGTTTCTCACCCAAACTTCAGGTACACATATCTTTCTATTTACCAATCACTTACTATTTAGCATCTATCTGGGACCTCACATCCTATACCTGAACATGACCCCATCGTATCCCTCCCCACTCTGTGCATTTTCTCAGCAAACAGCAACTCTACCCAGCTCTTAAAGCTTGACTCCTAGGAATCACCCCACATCTCACCAATCACTAAAACCTATTGATGTTACCTCCTAAATACCTTTTCATCGATTTCTTTTCATTCCACAACCACCATCTAAGTTCAGGACTTGTGGTCTATCTCCTAGATCTCTCTTAAATGGTTACTCTGCCTCCAGTCTTGTTCCCCTCTCAACCAAACGCCACGCTACAATCACAGGGAGCTTTCAAAAACCCACATGTCATCTGGGTATTCCGATGCTTAAACCTTTCAACATCTACCTGCTGTTCATGATAAGATTCCAGACTCCCTGAGGTGAGCTCACAGTCACGCATAAGCAGATCTCTCCTTAAGTTATCTAGTCTCATCTCTCTCTCACCACTACAATGTTCCCTACTCACCTGGTGCCACTGAAAGCCCAGTGGAGGACAGTTCTATTCTGACATACATGGGGTCACCATGAATCAAAATCAACCTGATGGCAACCGCTTGTTTATGTTTTTAAGTGAACTATTAAATACACGAGCATCCATTGTATGAATTTACATAACAGTGAGCCAAGCAATAACAGGATTGAAGTATATGAGGTAAAGAATTATTTTCTCACATTATTTCTTCTACCAGGAAACAATATTGCAATGCATAATAATTATTTCAGTACAGGAAAAGACAACTACATCAGATGATAAATACATATACACCACCAAATACACCTAAAGGGACTTGAAAAGGTTTTGGAAAAATGCATGCAATTAAGAGGTGACAGAATTTTTCCAAGGACTTTTTGAAGCCCCTTGTATATATCTTATTTTCTTAAATTACCTTTTAAGTTCCTGTTCCAGTTTTTCCATTTGTGTTTTGCTAGAATTCAGTTGTCCTTCCTGGAAATTCACTTGTGCCTCCTTCACTTGAAGCTCATGAGAAATCTTTTGCTTAATCTTCTCCAGATTCTCACACATTTCCATTAAGCTTTGGTTCTCCCTTTTCAGGTTTGTGCCCTCTGTTTTTTCATTTTCAACCTAACAGGAATCATTCAGAAGGAAATGCATCACTGATTTCATCAACTTACCAAATATTTATGAGTTTCATTTTCTCAGATATGACTGTAATAATCTAGCTGTCAGTGCTAGATTATTGCATGTGTTCACGATTTAGATAGCCACACTTTGAAGTCTATAGGGAGAAAAGTTCTCCAAAATTATGTACGACAAGGTAGATATGCATGTGCTAAATGGAACAGAGGTAAATAATGATGTATACACAACCTTGGAAAAACAGGGCTCTGAGATTACAGATCAAGACATAGTCTGAATGGGTAAAAGAGGGGAAATAATGTTAAGACTGTTGTGTGGATATTGGCTTCCCTTGCCTAGTATTGTAAAATAGACATTTAAGTGCGTTAGAAAGGAATATAAGGAAATATGATCACAGAAAGCTTGTAAACCCGTCTTTACCCAAAACTGATTGGAATACCTAAAAGGGGTTCTAGAATTTGTCCAGTGAAATACGCTTCTTGTTGAGCCTTTGTAGCATATGGGATCTTAGGTGGAATCCTGAGCCCCATCCAAAACCTTCTGAGGTGACACATTACCACTTGAAAGGACATGCACATACTTCTTGAAAGAAAGACTTGAAAAGACATAAAGATACTTCCTGAAAGAAAGTCCAGCAAGGGAAAAAAAAAAAATGCAAACGATTTGGCTATTATAAGAGCAAGCAAGCTGTTTGCCAGGGAGCCATCAAGGCAAGCCATCAAGTCCCTTCAGGACAAACCACTCTTCCCTTTTTATTACCCATCTTCTACCTTTACAGTTGTGACCACCATAATTAGTCATGATAACAATTACTAATGAATCAAAAGAATCTTATCCCTATCGCCTTTCACCAGACCCATCTAGACAAGATGAAAGCTATTCAGTGAGGATTCTACTTTCCCTCCCTCACTCTGAAACTCCTTCCAAGACTGAAACTCAAAGGGAACACATGACTAGGCTTATAAGATCACTGGTGACCACAATGATCTACTTCTGAGTGGATGTGGGGGACAGGCAGTAATGAAGACATGGGCTAAATTCGACCATGTTCCAGAGACTCCTTTTGACCTTGAAATGAGAGAGAGAAGAGGACGGGCTGGTTGGCCCAAAGTTTGGGGAGACTTGGGAATAGAGCCCATAGACACTGACCTAGCCAATGGGGACTAGAGCTGAGAATGAAGCATCCAGCTGACACGAAATGGGGGGAGGCGCAAAAGCACACCCAAACTTGCAGATATTTAGTACCCATTGGATCTACCTTGGATGACTAAATGATCAGAACTCAACTAGAGGACGACAAAGAAATTTGATATAGGAAGCAAGTGTAAATTGCTACAATTTGATGAACTTGGCCTTTTCTTATGGATGTAGCTACTCAAAATACCACCCAGAGGGAAGGAGTCTTTAAATCAAGTATTAAGCCTATCCTTCAGTACATAGAGTTATAGGGACAGGTAACTTAGACATTGGCTACCTAAAATCAGGGCGCTATAAAGGCACAAAGTGGCTGGCTTATAAGCTTTCAAGAGGGAGTTTAGTTTCTGAGCGAGGGAGGAAAAGTAGAATCCTCATTGAATAGTTTTCATCTTGTCTAGATGGGTCTGGTGAAAGGAGATGGGTATAAGATTCTTTTGATTCAATAATAATTGTTATCATGACTTATTACGATAGTCACAACCATAAAGATAGATGTGTAATAAAAAGAAGAGAGTAGTTAATCTTACATTCCAGGAACAGAGGACCCTAGTACCATCAAAAGGGAAGAGCATGGGCAGAACATGTGATCCTAACCAGAGAAGCAGCAACACCAGAGACAGAGGCAGAGATGATGGCATGGAGAGAGAGCGCACCTGAGGACTCTAGACTCAGAGAAACAGAAAGGCTGTGTGCTGGCAGGCAGGAGGCTGGCTTGCAAAATGTGCCCTTTGGCTGTTGAACAATTATATATTCCTGTTGTTTTTGTGTACATCAATAAAAAATAAAAGAGGGAATATAGGCAAATACTGTTAACTGAAGGAACATGGAGGGGATTGTAATCATTGCAGTGAAACAACAAAATATGACTGGCTGAGTGTAAAACAATGTTCTTGCCATGTAAACTATCACTCGATTCACAATAAAAACTTAAAAAGTTATGTATGACACTGTCTTCAGTCAGTGTTGCACATAACCTTCCCTTTATGTGCTGCAAGAGACTACCATCGCTTTAAAAAAAATCGAAAATTACCAGGGGGCAAGGAGAAGCTTAATGGGTACTAGGTTTCTGTTTAAGGATCCCTGGTGGCACTGCAGGGCAAGCACTGGACTGCTAAGCACGAGGTTAGGAGTTCAAACCCACTAGCCCACTCTTCGGACCAAAAAAAAAAAAAAGATAATTTCTGCTCCTATAAAGATTTACAGCCTCAGAAATCCTAAACAGGGTCTCTATGAGTTAAAAATCAACTAGAGGGAACCTAACAACAACATGAAGAAGTTTCTTTTTAGGGTAAGGAAAAAAGTTTTGGAAATAAAAGGCTTCAAAAAGTCCATAGAAAAATTCCATTTTTTTTTAAGCCCCCCCCTTTCACTTAAAAGTGTGAACTGTACTCTTAAAAATCGTAAAATGGTCAATTTTATATTAAACATATTTTCCCACAACTTCTGTCTTCTGATCCAACTGTTATCTTACAATATTTTTTTACTCAAAAGCAAAAAGCTATAAATCTTCCTTAACAATTAATTTCCAAGTTCAGATGCTAATGACAATTATCCTGAGGAACTAGAAAATTCTCCCAAACATTGGCTAATGCAGAAGCAGTCCTACAGAGAAGAGATGTGGAAATTCCATGATGAAAGCCCACTCTCCAAAAGTGATATTCATTTAGATGCAAAAAGCTGTTAATATTGTCCTCAGCTTTACAGTCAGAGATGCCTGGTCTCATTGATTCAGAATACAAAGCAATTCCCAATTCAGTCCCAAATGGAAGTTAAAGTGCAATGCAGTAACCCTAAATATTAGCTAGGAAGCTAAAATGAGGATAAAGATCGGAGAAAATGAGTGGCAATTCTATTTTAAATAAGAAAAGGGGAAAATTAGTTACATCATTCACTACCTAAAGACAGCAACATCATTTCTTTCTAAATTTAAAAGATCAAAATAAAATTACGTAATCCAAACGATGAATGAATTGTTTTAATAACCAGTTTCTGTGACATTACCTTCTGTTTTTGCTTCTGCAACGCAGCTTCCAGAGACTCAAGCTGAAACTGCCTTTGCTGCCTTTCTTTCTTTAGTTTGTCAAGCTGTCCTTCAATCTCTTGAATTTTCTGAAGCGCTCTGGTAGGGAGGCCTTCTTTCCACTCTTCTAAAGCCCAGCTCATTCTGCCTGCTGTTTGTTTTTTTTAATTATTCAAACATTAATAGCTGAAAAGAAAACGAACCTGTCAGTCCTACAATAGTAAAAGAAAATGTAGTTAACAGAGACTATCTATTCTACCTGACCTCCTCTAAGATTCCAGTTTCAACATTTCACTTTTGGGTGTTCTTACTTGTCAGTTTTTTCTTGTTTAATGTCTCCTCCCAGCAGTTAAGATTTTTTAATGCATGAATGAACAAAAAGAGAACATTATATTAGTGCTAGAACCATTGCAAAACGCAGTAGAGTCAGGCTCCACACAAATCTTGACCAGAGACTCCTATAGAGTGCTGAATTCAAATTCCCAACTCAATTACTTACAAGACGTGTGTGACCTTGTACAAGTTATTGGACTGCTGTATGCCTGTTTTTTCATTAGTAAAATGAGGATAAAATAATGATCAAAGTTCCTAAGGTTACTGAAAGAATTAAGTGTGTAAAACATTAAAGTTTTAGAGTAGTATCACCTGGTGAGGAGCCCTGGGACAGTGCTGTGGGTTTATGGGCTGGACTGCAAAGTCTGTCAGAACCACAAGATTGATGATGCAGGCGCACCACCTACTCCTCAGAAACCCCATACAGCTTTGCTTTGGGTCAGAACCAACTCTACAGCACTAATGACAACAAACAACAACAAATCACCTGGCAAACCTTTTACTGTTGTCGTGTGCTGTTTAGTTAGTTCCTACTCACAGTGACCCTGTATAGTGACCCATGGCTGTAAATCTCTATGAGAGCAGAAAGTTTCATCTTCTCCCCTGCAGCAACTGGTGGATTCAAACCACCAACCATGCGGTTAACACCCAACATGTAACCCATTACACCATCAGACCCCTGAACCCTCTATACACGCTAGTTATTATATTAGCAATGAAAAAAATTTTTTTAATTTGTATCTTTCAGTCTTTAGTACATAGTGAAGTGCCTATCTCTCAGTCAAATTTTAGGAAATTTAAATTACCTATGAGCAAAATGGCAGGTGTTCCTTATTCACTAACCTTAAGTGAAAGAAAAATCATTCAATTTCTAGTTACTTTGTCAATAGGGTGAGGACTCATTTTTGTTTTTGTTTTACTAAATCAAGTCCTAAATCAAAAAGAGCAATTTAGACAGGTGACAGTACAGCATAAGGAAAATAAAAGGACTAATAAGTTCAATGCTTTTCCACTTCCAGGTCCAAGTTACCCAAGTTACGGCTATAAAGAAGTGGTTGGACCTCTACAAGAAAAAGACAAATAACCCAATTAAAAAGTGTGCACAGGACATAAACAGACATTTCAGCAAGGAAGAGATCCGGGCAGCCAACAAACATATGAAGAAATGTTCACGATCACTAGCCATTAGAGAGATGCAAATCAAAACAACAATGAA